TTTTTTTAAGTTCTTTGCAGCGCAGTTTAGTGAGGCATTTCCAAGGCCATGCAAAGAGCGCGCCGCATCTGACTACGAGAGTTTTTCTCATAATTAGATCTAATATTATTGTTAAGAAGCMGATAATCATTTAAGTTAATTGTGGACAAATGTCGATTATAAAATTCCCCTAATAAAATAGTTCCTTGTCGGTCGTGTGGTTGCACACTAAGAATTTTCAGTATTCAACGTTTTCTGAATTAACATATTAGTGATGTTTCTTTCAGGTCAATATTGCATTCGTAATGCAGTATTTAATGACGATTCTAAATTTGCTGTTGAAGCGTTTTCGGATGCGCAGGCAACCCAAGCAGAGCATTTGATTCAAAATTGTTTTTTTTTTAAAATAAAATACAGTTTACCTTATTCTCACGTGTTGCTGATGTTATTTAACATTGCTGTGTATGATTTTGAAGGGATTTAGAGCTATTTAAAAAAAATATCGCCATCAGTCATAAAACTTCGAAATTGGATTAAATCATTCTTTCAACTCCGTAAGAACTTACTTAAGGTGATTCTTCTTTGAAATCAAGACAAAATTGTACAAAATTTACAAAAGAAAGCAGAGTTTTTGACGTCAATTTGAGATCAGCCGCCATCTTGGATGAGCAAAGTTGCCATCCAAGATGGCGTCCCCATACAAATTAACCAAATATCTTTATTCCCTTATATCTTCATCAGAAAGTAATAAGCTACAGGACTTAAAGCTCGTATTCTAGATAATCTGACTATGCAATTTATGACTTGCTACTTGAGTTTTGAAAATAACGACTAATAAACTTTCACTTCGATAATTCATTAAACAATTTTTTTAATTAAATGTGTTTTTATTTTTTGGCTTATTTTTTCCATCTTGCTTGCTTGTTCATAACAAGCTACTAATYTATAAACTTTAACATTCCAGTTAACAACGAATTCAAAGGCATATACAGAAGCCTTTGACAACAATCAAASAGCTTGAGCTTATTGAACTACWAAGAAATTGTATAATGGAATATGAAAAAAAGTTGACATTTTATCAATTAACACTGAACATCTTCAGCAAAGTCACCCGGCAGGTTCCCTGGGGGAAAGAACCTCGCTTTAACGGCATTCCCAGCCACAACAATAAAAATGTCTTCTGCACTCTTCCACACGAGCTGAGAAAAACCTCTTGCAGCTTCTACGCCGTCTTCGCTTCCACAACCTCCACTGCTTTTGTATATCGCTTGTTGGTCATACCTGCAAAATAAAACAACGAATGAAAATGTCCAAAAATATCTGGAAGGAAGAATTTATCTATCGCGACTGAAAGGAATTATGGGCATAGAATATCAACTATCTGAATTTTGAATCTTAATTGCTGTGGGGACCAAACAGGGACGTTTTGGGCTCCAGCTAATTCAAGAGGATCCATGCAATCCTAGCGGTTATTTTTTCAATTTAATTTAAAAATCAAAGGGTGATATTTACCATTGCTTCACCGCTCTTTTACATTTGTCTACTGGTGAYCCTCCTCCTGTTACCATAGCAGAGATACCACTCGATACGTCGTCTTCAAGATTTGGATCAGGCATTACTTTTCCCGCCGAGTTTTCATGCTCGGCCCAACTTTTGGCTTCTTGTTGGGCTATCTTGTCGTTACTCCAYTGCAAGGCTTGCSCGCCATGTTTAGCTCSTATTTCGTTTATGACTTTCAAACAAGATCCAAACCCACCGTCTGGAGAATTCAAAAGCAAAATCTTAGTTTAA